TCTATTGTGAGCCGCCCGGAGTCCTTCGGGAGTGGGCGGCATACAAGACAAATCAAATCAAAATCAAATCAATCAAATCAATGCTCTAATCATTTGCACTAATTGCTGCATCTGATATTAATTGTAGGTATTTGAGATAATGCTCAATGTAGTGCTGTACTTACTTTTTCACTCCCAAAATTTGCATTTATGTTTATTTAAGTTCCGCAATGTGTACCCAAAATGTAAACAGCACACGATATTTGTTACATTACATTCCCTTTATCTGTCAACATTATTGAAATGGAGATCAAATATCTGTTTGTTGAAATAGGTTGAAAGAGTAAAATAAAATCAGTAGGGTGTGTTTACTTTTCCACGCGACTATATTTTAAAGCTTAGCTTTTATTATGGTCACAAAATGTAGCATCTGTTTATCCGATGCATTTTTTTTGTGCCATCCTGATGTGGTTTACAACACATATAAAATACATCAAGAAAAAAAAATACAATAAAACAGTAAAAGAGAATAAAAACAAGGTTAAAAAGAGGACAAAAGCAGTCTAATAAAATTCAAAAATCCTGGGAATTGATGCCTAGGGAAAAATAAATGTAAAGACATTTTTTAAAAAAAGCCTAGAATATATTAGCCTTATAACGTCTGTAAAGAATATCGGAAGCTACTCCCTTGTATCTGTTTTGTTCTGTTTTATATTTTTCTTTTATTTTTGTTCCTTTATTGTGCTGCTAGCTTTTTTAAAGATTGCTTTCTTCTTCTTTGTTTATACGTTGTTGCTTTTAAAAAAAATATTTGATAAAAATGTGTGTGAGTATAACCTTAAACTAGCATACTAGCATTGTTAAGTGAGTTTCATCACATTTTACAAGTTGGCCACACCCACCCAGTCATATCGCCAGCAAGCCACTCCTACCCGGTCACATGGTCAGCAAGCCACTCCCACAAAGTAGGCCACGCCTATAGAAGAAGTTCTGGTGTTTCAAAAGTTTTATTTTTTCTTTTAAAACAAACATTTCATCATTCCTTTTTTGGGGGGGTGTTTCAAAAGTTTTATTTTTTCTTTTAAAACAAACATTTCATCATTCCTTTTTTGGGGGGAGGTGTTTCAAAAGTTTTATTTTTTCTTTTAAAACAAACATTTCATCATTCCTATAGAAGAGGTTCTAAGAGGGGACTGGTAATTGTGCCCTGTGTCACAGCTAAGCAAGATTTTCCAGATTATGATTCTTATTTATTTACTTGCCAATGTAAGTACATCCAGGGTTTCCCTGGGAAGTTGGCGGTTTGGTTTTTTGGAGCAAGGAATCGGCGTATTTAATTNTAGGTCATTTGTGAATGTTTTTAATCTGCCGTCGTCTTTACTGTTTTAATGTTTCCCAAAGGTCGTTTTGTGTTGTTGGACAAAACATGGACGGCAAACAAATGAATACAATTGTCGGATGGTCCCAAAATTGGATCACGTCACACACACACACACACACACCCAGGACGCAGCAACCGTCGTAAATATGAGTCAGTTGCCAAGCGTCTGAATTTTGATTATGTGACCCTGGGGATGCTGCAAAGGAAGTGTGAAAAAATTGCCGTAAGTCCCTTTTTCCCCAGCGCCGTTGTAACTTGGAACGGTCTCTAAATGAACTGCTGTTAGCCGAGGACTATTCACAGGGCCTGGAAAATGAAGAAATGATACACACCGGCATACAGCAGCTCCCAATAAGGAGCGTGGCCTTTTTGGTGGTGTCACTGTAGTTCAGGTCAACGGCTTTTCTTTATTGCCAAGATTTTTCAAACGCCGGACAGTCCCATTCCAGCCGCCTGAAAACCCAGGCCGGGAATTACAAAAAACACGCTCCAATTCCCAAATAACTATAGGTTTTTTTTAAATTCCTCCCCAAAGCCTTAAATATCAGATACGTTGCCCTCTTCAAATTACCCCGTTTTTATTTCCACTGTAATTGTGGGCCCGTGTGCCATCGCCAGCTACTCTTCTGCTTTCCGGTGTGCACATCACAGCAGCCAGCTGCTGTTTGTGGGTGCCGGAGCCCTGCAAAACGGCAAAAAAACATACCGTTTTTCAGGCTATTTTCGGGCTGTTTTTCGATCCAAAACTGTGCCAAAAATGCGCTGAAAAATGACCCAAACTGCCCAAAAAACAGGAATGTGTGTGCCAGCCAGCTGGTCTTCACGTTTCCAGTGCTCTGGCACGCACGCAGACCAACTGGCTGGTGCATGAGTGTGCTAGAAACCCGGTGCTCTGGCGCCCAAGCACATTCGTTTGGGGCATTCTGTGTCGAAAAGGTTCGCCATAACTCGATAATCCATTTTCCCTCCTCCCGCACATTCACTGTCCTTCCTCCCCTTTCCGCCATTCCCATCGGGGTCCCCATGCCGTTATCTTACACCGTCTCGTCGTTCTGAAACTCCACCTTGCCGGCTACTTCCTCGTAATCCTCGCCGGCTTTAGCCGTGCCCTCGATGGTGTGGTAGGGGATAGCCACTCGCCCGCGGGCCCCCGAAGTCCTCAGCACTTTGATGTGCACCACGCCGACGCTTTCGCTCACTCGCTTAGAGGGTCCCTCAAAGGTAAAGATACCGGCGTGGTCGTCATCGAAGATGGTCACAGTGGCCATCTTGGAGGGCGCGAGACAAGCTTTCGGAGGGGGGGCCGGACCCGGCTCGGCCCAGGCTGCCCTGACGTTGCTGAGATGGACGTAAAAATACTCGTCCTCTTCAAAAATATCGTCGTCAATGATCCCCACTCGCAGTTCCTTGTGCGTCTCTCCTGGCTTGAAGAGCAAGGTACCCTCTGCAAATTCGTAGTCAGAGCCAGCGTTCGCGGTCCCGTCCTCCGTACGGAAATCCACTCGCACACTGACGCAGGCCAGATCCCCTCCTCGACGGGCCACGGTCAGAACCACAGAGCCACAGTTCTCGAAGCACTGATAGTGAGCTGGTTCGAAACCGACTCTGGTCACTGATTCGTCTTCCTCCGTCTGGACTTTCTGCATGCTGATCGCTTTGCGGGCCTGATCAGACGCGTGTTTCTTGAGGATATTCCCAGCTCCGATCATCATACGGGTTGCTTGGATGCGGTAGAAAGCGCGGCTTTTCTGCTGCTGGACCAGTACTTGATAGTTGGCCATTTCGATCAGTTGTTCCATGTCCTTGTCGGGATTCTTCTGTTTCAAATCACGCAAGGTGCGTGCCATGTCCCTGCGGGCCTCGTCGTCTTGATCCTTCCCCGTATCGCCCAGACCTTCCGATCCTTCCTTGAGCGAGTTATCCATCTCGATGTCCATTTTCGGGTAGCCGACGTCGCCCTCGCTCTCGATAATGAGATTCCGCGTCTTATCCGTCCGGTACCTTTTGTGGACGTACTTGTAGAAGAGGAGTCTGCGGTCAGCCACCCAAGCTTGGAGGACGCAGATTGGGAAAAACAGGAAGGTGAGAAGAGCTTCCCACAGTTCCACCTCGCCGGGAGAGAACCAGGCCAAGATGAGGTACAACCAGATGTAAGCAAAGATGCTCCAGGCCGCCGTGACGAAGAAAACCCGCAGGTGTTTGATGCGCCGTACCTCACCTTGAGGGACGACGTGGATGCAGACGGCGATGATGATGAACATGTTAAAAGCGGCGCTGCCCACAATGGTGCTGGGGCCCATGTCTCCTGCGTGGAAGCCATGCCCCACGATCTCGATGATGGACAGGAGTATCTCGGGGGCGGACGACCCCAGGGCCATCAAGGTGAGGTTGGAGACCGTCTCGTTCCAGATACGGATGGTGGTCGTTGTAGTCTCCCCGTTGGGTTTCTTAATGGTGATCTCCCTCTCCTGCGAGGTGATGACTTCAATGGAGGCCATGAAGCGGTCGGCAATGATGGACATGCCCAGGAACATGTAGATGAGGGCCACAAAGTAAACAATGGCCCGGGCCACCTTATCTCCCACGGAAGGATTCTGAGGGAGCCACACAGGTAAGATTACACCTTCCTGGCACTCGGTGACTTCCTGGCACTTGGAGCTACGGTTGCCACCGTCTGGAGAAGATGAACCAGTCCTGGGCAGACCCAAGGCATCGTCCACTGTGGCCAGCAGCGACGGGAGGAACAGAGCTAAGAGCAGGATTGACGTCTTCAGCGGAGACATGGTGGAGATGACGACTCTGGGGAGAGAGAGAGAGAGGAAAGAAAAAGGGTTACAGAGCCCATCACTCACAGCTGATATTTGGGTCTCCAAGGGCCACCACGAGATGATTCATAAACACTCCAAAGATGGCTCCCAACGTTATCCCTTGAGCGTTTCTCAACCTAACTTTAAGATGAGTGGACTTCAACTCCCAGAATTCCCCAGCCAACCACACTGGGATTCTGGGAGTTGAAGTCCACCCATCTTAAAGCCTGCTGGCTGGGGAATTCTAGGAGTTGAGGTCCACCTCTCTTAAAGCCTGCTGCCTGGGGGATTCTGGGAGTTGAAGTCCACCCCTCTTAAAGCTTCCCGGCTGGGGGATTCTGGGAGTTGAAGTCCACCTCTCTTAAAGTTGCTGCTCTAAAGTAAACTTTATTGGACTACAGTGACCCAATCTCACTACAATTCATGGTAGCTGTAGTCCAATATTCTGGAGAACACGCCGTAGGAATCGAGCGAGACAGAGTTGGCCTAACCAAGACCTCCAGTTCTCCATCTGGCCTCCCAGATTCCCTCCCACCACGGACGAGATCTTTCTCAAGAAGTTTTGGATTCTAGGCCAATGCCTCCTGGGGATGATTGGACGCGGAGTCCTGCTGTTCTCCATATGATGGCCAAGGGAGACGACTGGATTTGAAAGCTCGTCTGCGGCACGTCAACCGTCATACCATCACAAGTTTGCCTTCACCGGGAGAGGAGGATGAATCAGAAATCTACTTCAAAGCATTTATTGACATCTGTGTTTTTATGGAAGACTTTGCAACACAGAGTTTGCTCCAAGGAGCAGGAAGAAGAGAAGAGGCAAGGCAGCTGACTTCTGGAGAGGGACGCCCTTCTGCAACTCGTGTGCCTCACTGGAGGCAAGATTTCTGCTTAGGCTTTATTTATTTAATCTGCGTCCCGCCTTTAATTAATTTTCACAAATAACTCAAAAGTGGGGAACCTATCCGACGCGCCTTCCTCCTCCTCCTCTTTGCCCCTGTAACAACAATCCTGCGAGGTGGATTGGGACGAGAAAGGGATGGGCCCAACGTCATCCAATTGGCTTTGGTGAGTCCTTGGTGCTCTCGGAGCTTGGTGGACTTCCTTGCAGGCGTTTCCTGACCCAACTAGGGAACATCATCAGTGCTAGAAGGGAATGGGGATTGTGGAGAGGAGAAGGAGGAGGGGGGGGAGGAAGCATGAGAATTGGAGTCCTCGGCACTGCATGAGCTTGCTCGTTTTCTTGAAGACGTCTCATGACCCAGCTAGCTAACGTCATCTGTGCTGATCAGTGCTTAACAAACTATCTCACCTAACGCCCAAAACCTCGGGCTCAATTGCGGAAGGCGAGGACTACCTGTACGTAGAGGGAGCCGCGAGGTTGCTCGGACAACCCACCACCCTGGGGGGGTCTACAGGGGCGAGCGGACGGCCCACTGGGGAGCAAGACCTCCCCCCCCCCACACACACACCCGATTTTCTGCCAGGCGCTTTTGGCCAGCTGCCTTTGGAAGGAGACCAACCGCTTCCTTGGTTTTTCCGCTTCGGCCTGCAGAAAAGTTAGTACGACGTCCCGCGTGGCTCCTGTCCAGAAGGACTTGGAAGCCGTTCAGCTTTATCTAGACCTGACACTGGCTTTCGGCGCTGCCTCCGGACCGCCAACAAGAATCATTGTGTGCTTTTCGCATCCTGATCTGGGTCATAATTACGCCCCGGCTGAATAATCACCAGCGTGAGAACTTCCTGGAGAAGTGACCTTGGACGAGGGAAGTTCTTTCAAAGCTCTTGGGACAGGGGACACATGTCTCCAGGGGGTTCTCGACTTACGGACACTCCGTTTGTAAAAGGTAAAGGTTCCCCCTCGCACATATGTACTAGTCGTTCCCGATTCTAGGGGGCGCTGCTCATCTCCGTTTCAAAGCCGAAGAGCCAGCGCTGTCCGAAGACGTCTCCGTGGTCATGTGGCCGGCATGACTCAACGCCGAAGGCCCACGGAACGCTGCTACTTCCCCACCAAAGGTGGTCCATATATTCTGACTGGGAGACTGGGAATTCTAGTCCCTCTTTAGGCATGAAAGCCAGCTGGGTGACTTTGGGCCTATCACCAGGAGACCGGGAGCTCTAGTCCCTCCTTAGGTAGTGAAAGCGGGCCGGGTGACTTTAAATCAATCACCAAGAGACTGGGAGTTCTAGTCCTTCTTTAGGTATGAAAGCCAGTTGGGTGACTCTGGGCCAATCACCAGGAGAGTAGGAGTTCTAGTCCCGCCTTAGGCACGAAAGGCAGCTGGGTGATTTTGGGCCAACCACCAGGAGACTGGGATTTCTAGTCCCTCCTTACGCCAAATTGGTGACTGAGCCAATCCCCAGGAGACTGAGAGTTCTAGTCCTGCCTTAGGCAATGAAAGCCAGCTAGGTGNCAAAGTCACCTAGCCAGCTTTTATGCCTAAGATGGGACTAGAATTCCCAGTCTCCTGGTGATTGGCCCAAAGTCACCTAGCCAGCTTTTATGCCTAAGATGGGACTAGAATTCCCAGTCTCCTGGTGATTGGCCCAAAGTCACCTAGCCAGCTTTTATGCCTAAGATGGGACTAGAATTCCCCGTCTCCTGGTGATTGGCCCAAAGTCACCCGATTGGCTTTCATGCCAAAGATGGGACTAGAATTCCCAGTCTCCTGGTGATTGGCCTAAAGGCACCCAATTGCCTTTCATGCCTAAAGCAGGACTACAATTCCCAGTCTCCCGATGATTGGTCCAAAATCACCCAATTGTCTTTCACACCTAAAGCAGGACTACAATTCACAGTCTCCTGATGATTGGCCACAAATCACCCAGTTGGCTTTCATGGCTGAGGCGGGATTAGAACTCCCAGTCTCCTGGTGATTGGCCTAAAATCACCCAGCCAGCTCTCATGCCTAAGGCAGGACTAGAATTCCCAGTGTCTTGGTGATTGATCCAAAGTCACCCCTCCAACTTTCCGACCCCAAGGCGGGACTAGAACTCCCATCCTCCTGGTTTCTCATCAGTCACTCTTTTGGAAATGTCTTTTCCCGTCTTTTCGTATGGCTGCAAGCTTCAGGCGTCGGTACAAGTCAGTTTCACAACCGTTCCCTCGGCGGTTTTGACGATCCTCCCAGCTGTTTTAATTCCCAGCAGAACAAGAATGAAAGGCCATTAATCGGAAGCAGGCGTGGAAAGGATGGGTTGACAAGAGGGTCAACTTTGCCACGGTGACCTGGCAGGGCGGTTCCCGGAGGAAACCAGCCGGTCCCAATCTTTTGTGACGGCCAAATCGGTGAAACATCTCGCCCGGAAAGGAAACTCACCGATTTATAACAGCAGGACATTTCCTTGGCTCTTCCTGTCCCACAGCTCGAACCCCTTCCTCTTGTGCCAAGCCCAGGTGATGATGCGGAAATGGCTTATCAAAGGAGGGCCAGGGAAGGGGAAGCATAGATTTGGGGCGTGGGGGGTGGGTGGACGATTCGTTGACTTCTCGTAAGGCGGGGGAATATTTCTAGGAGGGAGAGGGAGAGAGAGAGAGAGAGAGAG